CTTGTCAGAACAACCTTGCAACAAGTCTGGCTCAATTAGCCTTTCTCACGATGACGAATATCCGCCATTTTTGGGTGGCATCTAATTCTCGTTAACCAATGCAGACAATTAAAACAATCATGAAAAGCAATTTTTTAAAATAAACTAACCATTTACAAAGCAAATTTACCATCATTCGTCCAAAAAATAATAAAAAGTCGCTGTTATGTGGACTTATCTCGCAGACTTCGACTGAAAAGCCACCCAAAAATGGCGGCGTGAGAAAGGCTAATTAACGTATCTAACTTGATTTATCCTGAATATTTTGCTTTTGGCAGTGCTAATCTCTTAACTGTACCCGAATTCGTTTTTCATTCGTAGGTTTATCAGTTCTAAACTGTGAAGGTCTTCCGTTATTCACCTATAGTGTTATTGCAAAAGGAAACGAGAGTACAAAGTCGGGAGAACCTGTGTGAGTTTTGTTGAGTCAAATTAAAAGCACTCTTCTCGCATGCGACTGAGGCAAAGTTCAACTTCAGACAACTGCATATATTGTACGAACTGGGACCCGAATCTGTACAGCACTACTGAATGAGCATGCGCTGTACCGTCAACGCTCCAGTTTCTTCCTGCTTGTCTAGACAAGAGATGTGTCGTACTTGGTTGGGGAACATTCAAAGGATCTCACCGTCCGTGCGGATCCGAAAACTATCAAGCACATGACGTAGAAGTGGTCAGCAGAAAAAACTGTAGTGAATATTATGGTGCACACATGATCACAGATAGAATGATTTGTGCCAAGGCAAGGAACGAAACTACGGCGAATTGTCTGGGCGACACTGGAGGTGAGATGTACAAAATTTTCTCATAAAATTTCGAGGGGTTGGTGGCAGTGTTGATTTAGTACAAACAGCAGAGTTTTATAGCAGATACAACACCAGAAGCGGCGGAGCAGGGGGCTAGGGGGCTATTGTAGTATAGAAGTAAAAGTGTGTGTGTGGTTGGGGGGTAAGCCCCATTTCTCCCCCGGAAACGATCAGGTAAAACAGAAATATGAAGATACTCGATCTTTATCTAGAATGCAAAGTGAACAAAATTACCAACATTGTGGTCCAATGAAATATTTGGGCAGGGGGGGGGGGCACTTCAGCACCCGTCACAGTTTAGATTAAGTCACGTATTTGGCTTCTTTAGGTCCGCTGGTCTGTGAAATCGCAGGAACATGGACTGTAGTTGGTGTAACAACTTGGGGCATTGGCTGCAGCTTGACTCGGAAATATGGCATATATACAGATGTTGGGAGAATGAAACCTTGGATAGACATCGTTTCGAGAGAAAATCAATACTCATAATAAACAATATTTTACTCACTCGTTTGTAAAATATTGTTCTCACCACTCGAAGATAAAGGCATATCTTCGCGCCGCCGTGTAATATCCTCTATAGACCCATTGCACATGACGTCACAGCGCCGGTGACAATGCATCTGGAGGACAAATTATATTAGCAATCTATGCATAATATAACATTTAATTTGTAAACAAAGCAAAACAAAATCAGTAAAAAGTGGTCTGAAAAACAGTAAAAGTAACCGGGCCTTTTAAATACGTTGATTTTGATTGGCTATCTTATTTTCTAACCCAAACTCTTCCAAGCTTGGTGGGATTAACGAATCATTTGGCTCTTTATGAAAAATGAAAAAAGTCGCTGAAAATGGACGAAAAGTAAAGGCTATAGCCTTTTCTCAAAGTCGCTAAAAAAGTAAATAGCCTTCACTTTTCGTCGATTTTTAGCGACTTTTCTCATTTTTCGTAGACTTTTTCACTTTTCATAAAGGGCAAAAAATAGCCTTTACTTTTCGTCCCGATTCCTGGTTGTATCAACAACATTTTAATGTCGGGCATCGTTGTTAATTAATTCCACCCGAGACGAGAAAGAGTTAAGTAGAATAAAAAAGGTGTTAAAGCCAGTGTAGACAAGATGGTCTAGTGGTAAAGACAAAGTGTTGCAAGTGTGTGAAGCCAGGATCGATTCCTGGTTGTGTCAAAAGCATTTTAATCTCAGGCATGGTTGTTAATTAATTCCACCCGAGACGAGAAAGAGTTAAGTAGAATAAAAAAGGAGTTAAATCAAGTGTAGGCGTGATGGTCTAGTGGTAACTACGAAGTGTTGCAAGTGCGTGAAGCCAGGATCGATTCCTGGTTGTGTCGAAAGCATTTTAATGTCAGGCACGGTTGTTAATTAATTCGAGACGAGAAAGAGAGAACTTAAAACAAGTGTAGGCGAGATGGTCTAGTGGTAAGGACGAAGTGTTGCAAGTGCGTGACGCCAGGATCGCTTCCTGGTTGTATCAAAATCATATTAGGCCAGAAGAAGTGTATGCATTAATTAATATTATGCAACATAAGTTATTATTATGCCGTTTCGAACCGTATGTTGAATTTCAAGGCCCCTGTAGCATTGACTTGAATTTGCGCCAGAAAATTGTATTTTTAGAATCTATGGTCCATAGACTTTCTGTCAATGCCTTATTCGTGCATCACTAGACGTCCGTGGACAATAAAAAAACAGTTTTTCCAGCTGCACGTGTAATCGAAAAGGACGTGAAAGTTAATATTATGCTGTTTCGAACTTTGTGTTCGATTGAATTTCAAGGCCCCTGTAGCAGAAACTTGAATTTACCACGGTCTGAAAATTGTATTTTTGGAATCTACGGTGCATAATCTTTCTAGCGATGCCTTATTCGTGGTTCACTAGACAGTCCATGAAGATAAAAGGCAGGTTATTCCAGGTGCATAATCGAAAAAGACGTGAAAGTTAATATTATGCTGTTTCGAACCTGATGTTCTATCGAATTTCAAGGCTCTTGTAGCAGAGACTTGAATTTGGGCCAGCCTGAAAATTATATTTCTAGAATCTACGATCCATAAGCTTTCTGCCGATGCCTCATTCGTGCATCACTAGGCCGGAGGTGGAGATACAAAGCAGTTTTTTCCAGCCGTGTAATCGAAAAAGACGTGAAAGCTAATATTACATAAGTGAGGGTTAGGGTTTGGCTGTTTCGAATCTGATGTTCTATTGAATTTCAAGGTCCCTGTAGCGGAAACCTAAATTTACGCCGGTCTGAAAATTGTATTTTTAGAATCTACGGTCCATAGGCTTTCTGTCGATGCCTTACTCGTGCATCAAAAGACAGTCCATGAAGATACAAACCAGGTTATTCCAGGTGCATAATCGAAAAAGGCGTGAAAGTTAATATTATGCTGTTTTGAATCTTCCGTTCTATTGAATTTCATACCTCTGCAGCAGAAACTAGAATTTGTCACGGTCTGAAAATTGTATTTTTGGAATCTACGGTCCATAAGCTTTCTACCGATGCCTTACTCGTGTATCACTAGACAGTGCACGAAGATAAAGAAATGCAGGTTATTCCAGGTGCATAATCGAAAAAGACGTGAAAGTTAATATTATGTGGTTTCGAACCTGATGTTCTATCGAATTTCATGGCCCTTGTGGCAGAGACTTGAATTTGGGCCAGTCTGAAAGTTGTATTTCTGGAGTCTGCGATCCATAAGCTGTTTCCATAAGCTATTTCCATAAGCTATTTCTGGAGTCTGCGATTCCAACACAACCAGGAATTGAACCTAGCTTCTCACACGTGCAACACTTCGTCCTTACCGTTAGACCGACTCGCCTACGATCCTGGCTTAGGACACTTGCAACACTTTGTCCTTACCACTAGTCCATCTCGACTACACTTGCTTTAACACCTTTTTTATTCTACTTAAGTAGAATAAAAAAAGGTCTTAAAGCCAGTGTAGGCGAGACGGTCTAGTGGTAAAGACAAAGTGTTGCAAGTGCGTGAAGCCAGGATCGATTCCAGGTTGTGTCAAAAGCGTTTGAATGTCAGGCATGGTTGTTAATTAATTCCACCCGAGACGAGAAAGAGTTAAGTAGAATAAAAAAGGAGTTAAACAAGCGTAGGCGAGATGGTCTAGTGGTAAAGACAAAGTGTTGCAAGTGCGTGAATCCAGGATCGATTCCTTTTAATGTCAGGCATCGTTGTTAATTAATTCCACCCGAGACGAGAAAGAGTTAAGTAGAATAAAAAAGGAGTTAAACAAGCATAGGCGAGGCGGTCTAACGGTAAGGATGAAGTGTTGCACATGTGAGAAGCTAGCTTCGATTCCTGCTTGTGTCGGAATCATTTTGGGCAGGGAAAGGTTCGAATATAATTGTATTAACTTTCACGTCTTGTTCGATTAGACATGCAGCTGTAAAAACCTGTTTTTTTATCGTCTAGTGATGATGTCTAATGTCTTGATGCACGAATCAGGCATCGACAGAAAGCCTATGGACCGTTGATTCTAAAAATACAATTTTCAGACTGGTCCAAGTTCAAGTTTCTTCTACAGGAGCCTTCAAATTCAATAGAACATAAGGTTCGAAATAGCATTATATTAACTGTCACGTCTTTTTCGATTATACAGCTGCAAAAAACTGCTTTTTATCTCCACGTACGGCCGAGTGATGCAGGAATGAGGCACCGACAGAAAGCTTATGGATCGTAGATTCCAGAAATACAATTTTCAGACCGTGATAAATTCCAGTTTCTGCTGCAGAGGCCTTGAAATTCAATAGAACGCAAGGTTCAAAACAGCATAATATTAACTTTCACGTCTTTTTCGATTATGCATCTGGAATAACATGCTTTTCATCTTCATGGACTGTCTTTTAATACACGATAAGGCATCGATAGAACGCCTATGGACCGTAGATTCCAAAAATACAATTTTTAGACCGTGACAAATTCTAGTTTCTGCTACAGGTGCCTTGAAATTCAATAGAACGCAAAGTTCAAAACAGCATAATATTAACTTTCACGTCTTTTTCGATTATGCACCTGGAATAACCTGGTTTGTATCTTCATGGACTGTCTTTTGATGCACGAGTAAGGCATCGACAGAAAGCCTATGGACCGTAGATTCTAAAAATACAATTTTCAGACCGGCGTAAATTCACGTTTCCGCTACAGGGACCTTGAAATTCAATAGAACATCAGGTTCGAAACAGCCAAACCCTAACCCTCACTTATGTAATATTAACTTTCACGTCTTTTTCGATTACACAGCTGGAAAAAGCTGCTTTTTATCTTCACATCTGGCCTGGTGATGCACAAATGAGGCATTGACAGAAAGCTTATGGACAGTAGATTCCAGAAATAGAACTTTCAGGCTGGCCCAAATTCACGTCTCTGCTACAGGGGCCTTGAAATTCGATAGAACATCAGGTTCGAAACAACATAATATTAACTTTCACGTCTTTTTCGATTATGCACCTGGAATAACCTGCTTTTTATCTTCGTGGACTGTCTATTAATACACGAATAAGGCATCGATAGAAAGCTTGTGGACCGTAGATTCCAAAACTACAATTTTCAGACCATGATAAATTCCAGTTTCTGCTGCAGAGGCCTTGAAATTCAATAGAACGCTAGGTTCAAAATAGCATAATATTAACTTTCACGTCTTTTTCGATTATGCACCTGGAATAACCTGGTTTGTATCTTCATCGACTGTCTAGTGATACACGAATAAGGCATCGATAGAAAGCCTATGGACCGTAGATTCCAAGGTCTTCGGTCCTCGCTTTCAGCCACCTCTAACTGAAAAAGGGGCCTTTACGGCCCTGATCACACATGCAATAGTGTAATAGGGCACAAATTAAAGTATGTATATCAATTTATAATGAAATCCACAGCGTGTAACAACATCTTGTAATATGCTCTTGAGCATGCTTATGACCAAACTGCATAATTTTCGTGTGCCTATCAGCGTGCTTATGAGAAATCCCATATAGGGATTCTCATAAGCACGCCCATATATGTACCAACACCCTGTAATATACTCATGAGCATGCTTATGACCAAACTGCATAATTTTTGTTAGCCTATGCGCGTTCTTATGAGACAGCCCATATAGGGATTCTCATAAGCACGCCCTGTAATATAATCGTGAGCATGCTTATGACCAAACTGCATAATTTTCGTGTGCCTATGAGCGTGCCCCCCCACGAAATCGCCAGTTTGTCTCCAGGAAAAGTCCCTTTTCCCTAAAATTATACAAACAAACCAGCGAAGATTAACAAATACATAAACAGAAAGTAAGTTTTAGGGTTTATTCTTTGTCCTTGTTTAACAAAATCGATTTAAATTGTTACTTTTTCTACCACCAATAATGATAAATTATTGTTAATATTTTTTTTTATTTTTTGGATGCTCAGAATGCAGGAAATAGCATTTCTGGTTTTCATTTTCAAAAATTTTCTTGGGATTATCCCTCTAATAAGTAATGAGAAATTACAGTTAATATTCTTTTTTACTTTTTGTGCATTTTTTCCATCTTTTATTTCAAATACAAGTATAGTTAGCATAAATTTTAGAGCAAATTTGAATGCTCAGAATGCAGGAAATGGCATTTCCGTGCTTCAAATTTCAAAAATTTTCTGGGGGAGTACACCCCCACACACCTGACCATTGCTATCCTCCTCTAATAAGTAATGATAAATGATGGTTATTTTTTTTTTACTTTTTGTGCGTTTCTTCCTTTATTTATTTCAAATACAAGTATAGTTAGGATAAATTTTGGAGCAAATTTGGATGCTCAGAATGCATGAAATGACATTTCCGGGAGTCAAATTTCAAAAATTTTCTGGGGGAGTACACCCCCAGACCCCCCATTCATGCGTGGTATATTTTCCACAAACGTGCCTTTCAGCCATTGCTATCCCCCTCTAATATATTATCTCACAGAAAGGTCCCTTTTCAAAAAATGCCCCCCCCCCCCACACGGGAAAATCCTTAAAAAAGGCCCTGGGCATAATGTTCCGGGGGCCGCCGGCACTCGTTCGTTCGATACCGGTTGGTAAGCCACCTATTCATTCGCCTCTGACGATAGCGTTGAGTTAATTAACGGCGTTCTAACGGTTAGCACGAGACGGACTTGACCGATACGAGCTAGCAGAGCAATTTACCCTTCGGTATAAAACAGATAAAAACAGATCTTCTTATTTATACCACTGAGATTTATACCAGTGAACTCTATTTATACCGCTGAAAAAGCTGACTCGTACCCAGTCCCTCAAATGAGGATTAAACAAAATAATGGTGCATGATGGGAATGGTCAAGGTATTTGTCGTTCCCATCATGCAACGCAAACCTCCGTCCACTGATCTATATAAGTCGTAATTGACGACCACGACTGAGTCAGTGAAATCACCAGAGGAGGATTTTGATGGTAATAGAGGGTAACAGGGAGTTGCATGAACATATAGGGATATTTAACGCGTCTCGCGCGGGACAAGATATATAAACATTGATAAACCACAGACTAGACAAAATGCAGAAAAAAGGAGCTGAAAATATGAAAGAATCACCTAATTTTTTTTTATAGATTTATATTATTTACTTTTATTTTATAGTCAACGTATAATGTGTTCATGCTGGGTTTATTATCACTTGTTCTTGGTGATTTTTTGAGGACAATTTACATCAATGTGATTATGTGCGATTATGGTTGACACTTCAAGTTTATTTTGAAACGATTGTTTTGCAATCTTTGAGAGAAAGGGAAACTTAAATTTTGTGTAAAGATGGATACGTTTAATCCTGTGTTGTCTTTAGAGAACGCCCGTAGCGCAGAAAACGAAGTTAAAATCCTCGAAACGTTGTGTAGATTTTTGAATCCCAACAACGAACGACAACACATTTCGGACGATCACGACTTGGATACAGAATGGTTAAAAAATGCTGATGATGGAGACGTTATAAACCCGTTTCCTGATAAAATACCTCAAGATATACTCAAGGAACAAGAGTACCTTAACAGATTTACGTTTTATTTGTTCGACAGGCGGTACGGTTGGTCGGAACATTCAATTCGTGTAGACCCAAGTACTGCTATAAAAGAAGGGCCCAGTCATTCTAATACGGGACGTTCATCCTCTTTGGGAATTGAGAGTAAATTTAAAGGACAGATTAATGAATTATTAGATGATCTATTAAAATGGTAAGTATTTCGTATTTTTGTGACATAAAATATTTTTCAAGCTTGTTGAGTTATGATATTTTATTGAATGCTATGTTTGCTTGTTATACAATATTTTCATATTTGAACCTGGTTCATATTTCAAATTAATGACAAGTGTTTCCCAAAGAGCCATTAGGGGCCATCTGCATCAAAATTTTGTCCCGCAGTTGCAGACGTGTTCTGTGATGGTCGGATAGGGAGGAAATAGCAGAAAATCCACAATGAAAAAGTGGGATGGGGGTGGGGTGGGGGGGATAGGGAAGGAATTGGGTCATTCCAGAAAACATCCATAACATCCCCACAGAGAGTTAACCCCCCTACCCCCTTCAGATGTCCTAATACATTTACTATTATCAGAAACAATTCCTCCCCCTCCCCTCCGGACGGCAGAAATTTCCTCCATGGGAGGAGTATGGTTCTTTTCTGGAACGACCCATTCCAAGCAATTTGTGCCAGAACAAGTCCACAATCATGCCACAGTAACATATTTTACCTAGGCCTCTGTAACCCAGATATTTTAACTGTTGTGAGACGTTTAATGGCCACTGTTACATTATTTTGAATTGATTCTAGGTATATTTGTCAAACAAGTCTTTCAGAGAAGTTACTTAAAAGCTTAACTTATGCTCTCTCAAAAGGTAGAGTACAAAATCCTGCTGTGGTTCGTACCTTGCTGACTAATGAGATGGATGTGTGATCTAGTCTCATTAAGGTTCAGTTTTCTAAATTTTATTATAAATTTATAGCATCCAACTTCCCAGTGGTCCGAAATCAAACTCTGATTCATATTCTCGACTGGCTAAAGGTTGCAGCAAAAGAAGGCTTTGAGCCAACAACATTTATGCTGGTGAAGGTATAACCAGATCTCTATTACATCATCACAGCACAATTATATCCACCATTATTATTCAGAGACGGATTTTCATATTTTCGTTCGGGGGGGGTGGATAAATATCTGGGGGGGTGCTGCTGCTTGCTTTGGCCGGGGCGTGGTGGCAACGCCGGGAAAGGCCAAGGAAAAAGTTTAACAAAATTTGTTTTCTAGGCCTGCATGGCGAGATCTGAGACCATAATATTGGTAATTTTACAAATTTAGTAGTAAGAATAATCAAATATGAAACTATCAAATCAAAATATATGTAATTTGCGG